CAGCTTGCACTTCATTACCCTCTTCTGGTGCATCAGATTCATCACTATTTTCCTCAACAGGTCCACCAGGTTCCTTCCCAATTACCACTTTATCAGCCCGGAACTTTTGTTCCCTTTTTACTTTCCCATCCAAGTCCATGTATTCCGGTACATGTGCCTGACAGCATAACCGAGTGATTAAGGATAGAAAGAAGAACCCATACCTTTGTACAGGACAACGAATGAACATCTCGTCGTGGATAACCTTAGCCACATCAAAGTCATGGCCACTGATAAAACACCAGCTCAGTGCATCCCGGGGACCATTCACCTTAGTGGTATTTGAGAAAAGCAGCAGACGGCTATTTATAATGTGGAGCCAACACTTCCCTTCAAAGGTAAGCGATGCCGAATGAAACTTTCGCCCCGACATAACCCACACTACCTCCTTATTGGGCACACAGAAATTTCTAAAGAACAATTGCCACAGGGGTTGGTTCTCTGCTATATATGTCATAGTAGTCTTCTGCTTCAGGATTTTCCCCAAACACTAGCAACCGGTAGGCCCTCCGAATGGCCTCTATGGATGCGTCCACACTCTTCTTTCGAACCGTGCAGACATGGTTAATATGTTCCGGGCAGTTCAGATAAAACTCCCGAACAACCATTAAATTGGCTTCGTTAAGTTCTTCAAACAATATCCCCAGCTCTCGCCGGACCAATTCACGATACATATTGGGGCAGTTATTTTGGAGGGACCCCATATCGATTCCCCTCTCCGGTATGGGTTTCTTGGGTGCCTTTTTATATAAGCGTTCATGGACTGCACTGGATACGAACTTGTTATTATCAAACGGGCGAGCATTGGCAGAAGCTCGCGGTCGAGACGAGCCAGCGTGATCACTGGAGGAAGCACTTGTGGTTTTTCGTTTCTTGGATGGCATCACAATACCTGTAACAAACACCAATATCAGCTAAAAGCATGGTGGTTGGACAAAAAATGGTTACTCAGACTTCACCAGCACACTTGGTCACAAACTTACATTCTCAAACTCTTTGGGGCATTTATACAAACTCTTGATGTGCACAGTACCTGAACCCCCAAACAACAATTCTTTAGCCCTCAATTTCGACAAAAGATACACCAATGTCACACCCAACCCATCATGGTGAAACTTAACTATTACCCCAACACAAGAACTAACAAAAATCTACTACAATTCAAGAAAAAGAAAAGAAACAAAACTAAAATAAGAGGGGGGGGGGAACATCTCACTTACATGAGGGGAACTTGTGAGGATTTGGGTTGGGGAGAAGAAGGAGGAAGGCACTTCAATTGATGGTGGGGATCTATGTAGAGAAGAGATGAGAGAAGGGGGTGGGGTTAGGGTTGTTTAGAAGAAGGGAAAAAGGGGGGAATTTGATATTGTGAGTGTTTAGAGGGGGAGATTTGAATTATGTGAAGGAAAGAGGAGGGGCCGAAAGTTCTAAAGAACCAAGAACGAAAAGAAAAAAAATAAAAAAATAAAAAAAATTACCTTTGTGCGGTCGGTGCGCGGCCGCGCACGTGTGGCAGTGAGGGGCCAAAAGTATGTGCCCAGGTGCGCGTCTGCGCATGTTTGGCAATGAGGACCTGAAAGTGCGCGGCCGCGCACGTTTTTGTTTTTTTTATTAATACCTACTACATCATAGTACACACTAAAGAAAAACAAATCTAACTAGCAGAAGGGTTAGAGGTAGTTCTGAGTTATATTCATCAGCTTGACCCAACCGGGCATCCTCAGTTGATTTTGATGCTCGAGGATTGCTGTGCAAATCATCCAACAAAATACGATTTTAGTTTGTGCCCATTTACTTTGAAACTTTCTGTTCCATCTTGGTTCTAGATCTTAATTGCCCCGTATGGTGATACATGCTTCACCACATATGGTCCTGTCCATCTAGACTTGAATTTTCCGAGAAATAATCTGAGTCTACTGTTGTACAGTAAGACTCTGTCCCCTTCATGAAACTCCTTTAGCTTAATCAGACAATCATGCCACCTTTTAGTCTTTTCCTTGAAGATCCGCGCACTTTCATACTCGCCTAGTCTGAACTCTTTCAATTCATTCATCTGCTCCAACCTGTGATCACCTGCAAGACTAAGATCTAGATTAAGCATTTTAATTGTCCAATAAGCCTTATGTTCTATCTCAACAGGTAGGTGACACGACTTACCATACACTAATTTGAATGGTGAAGTCCCTATGGTCGTTTTGAACGTAGTTCTATATGCCCATAGTGCTTCATCCAACTTGACAGACCAATCTTTAAGAGAAGCACTAACCGTCTTTTCAAGAATTTGTTTTAGTTCCTGGTTAGCCATTTCGACTTGCCCACTAGTTTGGGCATGGTACGGGATTCCTGTTTTGTGTGTGACTCGATACTTGGACAGCAGTGTAGCAAACTGCTTATTCACAAAGTGCGACCCATTGTCACTGATAATTGCTCGAGGTGTCCCAAAACGGGTAAAGATAGTTTTTTGCAAGAACTCACACACCACCCGAGCATCATTGGTCCTAGTAGGGATTGTTTCGACCCATTTAGAGACGCAGTCAACAGCTACTAGTATATACTCATGAGAATGCGACATCGGGAACGGACCCATGAAGTCAATGCCCCAAACGTCAAAAATTTCACATACCAGAATGGAGTTGAGCGGCATTTCATCCCTCTTGTTAATATTACCTGCTCTTTGACACTTGTCACATGCAGCTACATATGCCCTTGCATCGTTGTACAGAGTAGGACAAAAGAAACCAGCTTCCATGACCTTTGATGTTGTGCGATTTCCACCATAGTGACCTCCAGCTGCTCCATCATGGCAATGAGACAGAATGCTTGCCATTTCTCCTTCAGGCACACATCGTCGAATCACACCATCTGCACACTGTTTAAACAAGAACAGGTCATCCTAGAAATAACTTTTTATCTCACCTTGAAGCTTCCTTCTTTGATCATGAGTGAGGTCACGGGGTAACCATCCACTAGCCCAAAAGTTGGCTACATCCGCGTACCAAAGCGGCCTTTCGAAAATCGCTGCTATGGAAAATATCTACTCATCAGGGAACTCTTCCCTTATTTCAACTGTTTAAACTGGAGGATTCTCAAGCCGAGATAGATGATCTGTGACTTGATTCTCTATGCATTTCCTATCTTTTATTTCCAAGTCAAACTCTTAGAGCAACAATACCCACTGTATCAGACGCGGCTTGGATTTCTTTCTTACTCAACAGGTAATTCAACGTTGAGTGATCAGTGTGTACAATCACCTTGCTTCCCACCAGGTATGATCTAAACTTGTCAAAAGCAAAGACCACAGCAAAAAACTTCTTCTCAGTAGTGGCATAATTTACTTGAGCATCATTCAATGTCCTGCTTGCATAGTAGATGGGTCTAAATATTTTATCTCTTCATTGCCCCAGAACCGCTCCCACAGCTATATCACTCGCATCACACATTATCTCAAATGGCTGGCTCTAATTAGGTGTCACCATAATAGGAGCACTCACAAGCTTTTTCTTTAACAATTTGAATGCTCCTAAGCACTCCACATTGAAAATAAACTTGGCATCCTTCGCTAGCAATTGTGCCAATGGCTTGGTAATGCTGGAATTATTTTTATAAACCTCATATAGAACCCAACATGTCCCAAGAAGCTTCTTATGCTCTTCACCGAAGTCGGGGGAGGAAGCTTAGCAATAACGTCCACCTTAGCTTTGTCAATCTCAATTCCATGTGCAGTTACCTTGTAGCCCAGGACAATTCCCTCATTTACCATGAGGTGACACTTCTCCCAGTTAAGAACCAAGTGAGTAGCTTCACAACGTTCAAGCACGAGCTTCAAATTCATCAAACAATCCTCAAAATCATCACCAAAAGGGGTGAAATCATCCATGAAAACCTCTAGACACTTCCAGTTTAAGTCAGAGAATATAGATATCATGCACCTCTGAAAGGTGGCAGGTGCATTACATAGCCCAAACGGCATCCTCTTGTAAGCAAAAATACCTGACGGGCAAGTGAATGTGGTCTTCCCAACATCTTCTAGGGCAATTGTTATCTGATCGTAGCCTGAATACCCATCCAGGAAGCAGTAGTATCCGTGTCCAGCTACCTTCTCGAGCATTTGATCAATAAAAGGGAGTGGAACGTGGTCTTTCCTTGTTGCCTCATTCAGCCTTCTATAATAAATGCACATTCTCCACCCGGTGACTGTTCTTGTGGGGATCAATTCATTATTTTTATTTTTCACCATTGTCATGCCCCCCTTTTTGGGTACAACTTGCACTGGACTTAACCACTGGCTATCAGAGATGGGAAAAATCACTCCCGCATCTAGCAATTTGATGATCTCCTTGTGCACTACTTCCTCCAAATTTTTGTTCAGCTTGCGTTGAGGCTGTACCACTGGCTTGCTATTTTCTTCCAACAGGATTTTGTGCATGCATATGGTTAGACTAATTCCTTGAATATCATCTATGCTCCAACCAATGGCCTTCTTGTACTTTGACAACAACTCCACCAGATTTTGCTCCTGTATACCGGTCAAATCAGCAGAAATAATCATAGGAAAGTTGTTAGTTTCAAGAAAAGCATATTTCAAGTGAGTTGGGAGGACTTTCAATTCCACATTAGGCTTAGAATCCTCCTCTTTTAGTTTCTCCTCATCAACCACTTGATCCTCAGTTTCAAGAGCTTCAGCCTCTTTCTTTATTTGAGGATCTTTATCATCCATTGTGCTAGATTGAGTAATACACCTCTCTAGAGTATCCCTCGCAAGCTTGTCAAGCTTGAACTTTTAGCCAACTCCCCAATGACATCTAGCTTGAAGCACGAGTAGGAATACACCTCATCACTGGGGTATTTCATTATTCTCTTCATCTAGAATACTACTTTCTCAGTTCTCACTCTAAGCATAAGTTGCCCCTCATAATTATCAAGGATGGCTCTACCTGTACATAAAAATGGCCTCCCTAGAATTAAAGGCACCTCCTTGTTCCCTCCATATCCACCACAATAAAATCGACGGGGAACACAAACTTGTCCACCCGCACTAGAATATCTTCAATGATTACCTTAGGTAGAATGGTGGTCCGGTCGGCCAGTTGTAGGGACACTGGTATTGATTTGATCACTACAAGTTCACCTTCTAGTTTCGTGAGTACAGACAGAGGCATTAGATTTATAGACGCACCTGAATCACGGAGGGCCTTGTCAAAATTTTCACTCCCCAACGAGCATGGTATGGTGAAGCTTCCTGGGTCCTCACACTTTAGGGGAATTTTGTTCTGCAATATAGAACTGCAGTGGGCATTCAGCTTGACCACTATTGTCTCCTCTAATTTTCTCTTTCTAGACAGGATTTCCTTCAAGAACTTTGCATAAGCGGGCATCTGAGTGAGTACCTCTGTGAAAGGGATGTTCACATAAAGTTGTTTGAGCATCTCCAAGAATCGCCCAAAACACTTGTCAAGTTTCTCCCGCTTCATCTTTTGAGGGAACGGTAGAGCTGGCATATGTCTACTTTCTTCAATTTCTTTTTGTACCTTACTATTCTGGCTCTTTTTCTCTTCATTCTTTTCCTATGCTGGTGTCTCAGTCTGCTTGTTGACCACTTCCAATTTTAGCCTTCACTATTGGGCCAGTCAATGTTTTTCTGCTTCTCAGAGATGCAACTTTGATTATTTCCTTCGAGTTCTTTTCAGTGTCGGATGAGAGAGTCCCAGGAGCCCTCTTAGATAACAAATTTGCAATCTGTCCCATTTGCCTTTCTAAGTTCCAGATAGTCGTGCCCTGAGTCACGAATTTTTCATCTGTTTTGTTGATGAATGCCTTCATGAGATCTTCCATATTTGACTAATTTAGATGTGGTGGCTGGTATTGTTGCCTCTGGTGGTTCTGAAAATCTGGTGGTCCTTGACCCTGGGGTCTGAGATTATTTTGCTACCATGAGTTCAAGCTCCCATTAGGTGAACTCCACGAAAAAACTGGATGTATTTGACCCATAGCATTAAAGTTGTTCCCACCTTGGTAGTTTCCTCTATTAAAATTTCCCATAGCGTTGACCTCCTTAGTTGTATCTTGACACTCATGTGTAGGGTGTCCCATCCTACAGATATCACGACCCACATGTGGTTGAGTTTGCACCTGAGCCATAGTCAATTGCTTGATGTCCTTAGCCATTGCTGTTATTTGGGCCTGCATTGCTACAAATGATTCTACTTGGTGCACCCCTGCTGATTTTCTCCGATCCCCTTGGTCTGTGGACCATTGATCTGCATCTTCAGATAGTTCATTCAAGAGAGTAACAATCTCTTCCGGAGTTTTCTTCATCAGAGGGCCTGCAACTGCACTATTTAGCAATCTCCTTGATTACGGGTTTAAACCATACCAAAAGTCATGAAGTTGTATCCATTGCTCCATTCCGCTGTGAGGGCACCTCCGCAGCAGCTTCTTAAATCTTTCCCATGCTTCGAACACTACTTCTCCTTCGCTTTGGCTGAAATTTTAAATCTCCTTCCTCATCCTTCCCGTCTTAGCTGCCGAGAAATATGTTTCCAAAAACTTAGTAGCTATCTCCTCCCACGTGCGGATTGACCCTGTAGGCAAACTTCTCAGCCACTGCTTTGCATCATCCTTCAGCGAGAAACGGGAATGCTCTGAGGTATATAGCATTATGTGATGCTCCATTATAGCGGAACGTGTTCATAATTTCATCAAAGTCCATCAGATGGTTGTTGGGATCTTCATTGGGTTTGCCTATGAAAATGCAATTATTCTGAATGGTTTGGATGACTCCCTGTTTGAGTTCAAAATTATTAGCATCGATGGGTGGGGGCCTCACACTAGACTATTGTTGGTTGTACACTGGTCTAGCATAATATCCCAGTGATGTCCCAGGCCTAGGGCCTGCATTTTCAAAGGAATCATCGATAATTCGATTGGGATTGAATCTTCGATCTCCGTCAACCGTTTCATCAGCAATTCTGCGGGTCGCTTCAGCTGCTAACCGTGCTTCCTGTTGCTGAGCCGCCTCTCTGAAATCTAGGTCTACTATCTTTTTGTTGTTCACCATTTTATCCTGAGTTGAAGGCTGACCCAACAACAATCCACTCGCTTCTTTCTCTCTTTTCAACTGCCTCACGTGTTTGTCTAACTCAGGGTCGTATGGCACCAAGTCCTTTGAAAAGGATCGAGTCATACACCGCTGAACTTAACTTGTTGCCTGCACACAGATGAGAAGAGCGTAAAAAAAAGAAAATAAAATAAAATAATTCCTGAATTAGCACTGAAAACTAATTGAAACACTATTAATCGCCAATCCCCGACAATATCTCCAAAATTTGATGAGCGCAAAACCGACGTATAAACTTAGGCTCACTAGTCAAAGATAGTATAGTATCAAATCGTCTCCACAGGGATTGGTTTCAATAATGTGCTATTAATTCCTCAGTTTAACACTATCCAGGATAATCAACCTTAACACTATCCAGGATAATCAACCTTTTGATTTATGTTATTACTGATTACAAATAAACTAAGATTATCAGCTGTAAGAAATTGGTGATACCCGAATGATTAGTAATAACAAAGGAATATCAATGAGAGTGGCAAGGGTGATAACAAGATATGTGATCAACTATTGTTCTGGGTAACTTTATGCTATATTAAATCTTAGCTTCTATTGATTCTCTCAACTTCAACAGATGATAAGGCTACTTCAGGTATTTCAATTCTTCTTCCAACTAAATTTTTATTCCTCTCGCTAACCCAAATAACAGGCCCTATGAATGTATTCACAAAAATAGTAAATGAATGATCTTCCGGAGAACACCTCTCGGTTATTCTCCTGAACTGGGTAAATCAATAACTCCTTAAGCTCTTTCGATTACCTAGAAGGGGCGTAAAATTAACCCAATTAAGATAGCACAAAACAAATAGCAGTAAACTTCTATTTCGATTAAAGTGAAACTACAATAAACCTTGCAATTCAATTAAAAACTCATTCAATAAGGTCGGGCAATTAACATATAGTAAAACCCAGAACAATAATCAATTCACAACATCCGTCAACAACCCTGAGGAGAATTACTCCATAACGAAAAAAGTATTCAAAACAAGAGTGTTAGAAGAACAAGAAGATATTACAATTCCCAAATTCAACCAAACTTTCGTATTAAGTGAATTGAATCAAGTATCTTGATTTCCCGTTGCTTCCGTGCTTCTTCTACCTCCAAATTTTTCTCCTCAAACCCCGATACCCTCTTTTAGACGAGTTGGGCTTCATATAGGTCAAGGAAAGCCGCCCCCGGAATTACAATTTTAGCCGTGGAAAATATTCTCTCAGAAGGACGTGTGCGGCCGCGCACCTGGGCAGGTGACCGTGCATCTGGCCGCGCACATTGGACAATTTCTGCTTGACTTGCGCGGCCCAGTGCACGGTCAGAGCACGGCCACGCAGCTGGAAAATTTCTACTCTCTTTTTCATTCTTCTTTTTAAGTGCGCGAACCTCCTTTGATCCTCGAACGAACTCCCAATTTACTCTATAAGATTTTTCTTGGCCTTCAATGCTCTATAATAGCTCAAAAACGCTCCCTAACCTCATTGTAGCCCGGAATTACTCCTGCAAAGCATAAAGCACTCAGTCAGAGCAATTTACTACCATTTAACGCTCAAACATCAGTAAAGTGCAGCAAATTAGAGTGCAAATAGTGGCCAAAATATATAGTTATAGCCTACCATTAGCGACTCCTTTAAATAAAGAATCAATTCCATTTCAAATAATGTCACTTAAATTAGATAAACTATTTTTCCCGTAAAAAGAAGGTGTGACAATACAAAGGGAAGAGTTTTTGGCTAAAAACATCCCTCGACTATTGCCCCAACCTAAGGTACATCTTTCTCTTACCTCAGCGAATAAAAACATCCTTGTACCATCCAACTAGTTGCAAGATTCATCCCCCCGTTAACTTCTCTCAAAAAACTAACGCCACCCACAAGAAAATGTGACAAGCACGTGAGTTTTCCCTGACTGATTAACTTGCTAAATATTTTCTTTTGGTACAAAATATGTAGTTATATACCATATACCATTACTGCTAAAACTAACAGAAAGTAATTGAAAAACTTACAAATTCACCAAGTGATTCAACCTACCATTGATATCAATTCACATGAGAATCTCAATATCAGTAGAGAATGTGTCTCTCTAATCTAGGATACCCAACTTCAGAAGAAAGCAAGCTTAATCCTACTAAGATTTCATTTGAATCTATCTAGTGTCCTGATATTTTTTGACGTATAATAAAATGAGTGTCATATTGGGATTACCAGAACCCAATATGAGAAAAGAAACAAAATAAGAAATTCTTTCTGACATTTCAACAAACAAGCCAGGGACATCTGAACACTGACTTAGCAAATCTTGGTAATTTCTAAAAAATGATGAAGATGAGGAGAACATAAGTCAAACACATTGAACAACTGCAGCACTCCAGGAACAAGAAAGAAGAGAAAAGCTTATGGACTTCTACTATGTCTTGTGAGGCGCAATGACAGCATAGGAATACAAATTTCGTCAAAAATCATAATAGCTCTTTAAGTTTGGTATTGGTGTAGACATATGCGAACTCAAGATTTGAATTTTATGGGTTCAAATTCGGAATTCTTTTACTTCTAATTTAATTTAATGGATTTAAAATTTATTACTATACATATTTAATGATTCTTTTATCAAAAATAAGTGTACAAACGAAAGCTACCTCTACACTAAATACGCCCTGGGTGTAGAAGAGTTGAAGCAGATGATTTCTATTCCAAAAAGATCTAGGCCTTCAAGTATGAAAGAAAACTCAGCTTTTGAAGCATCGATCTGCTTCGCTAAAGGTGGAAGACAATACACAATAGGAAAAATAGGGAGTAAGTCACGTGCTTGTCACGTTTTTTGTGGGTGACGTTAATCTTTTGACAGAAGCTAATGGGAGGGATGAATCTCGAAACTAGTTGGATAGTATGAGGATGTTTATATTCATTGAGGTAAGAGAAGGATGTACCTTAGGTTTGGACAATAGTTGAAGGATATTTTTATCCCAAAACTCCAAAGGGAACATGAAAACTGAAAAAATCCCTAGCGCCGCAACTCTCACCTACAACAGCTTCGTCCACATCGGACAAGTTTCACCCTTGAAACACCACCTTAATCAATTCTTCCCCATCACAATTAATCCTTCTTCCACCATTAAAACCTTTTAGCCATGAACATCATTTCCTTATTCATATGAAAAGATCACTAGTAATACCTTTTGTTAACTAAAACCCATCTGAAGATCCATTTCTTCATTCATTTTTTTCTTGGACGGAGCGCCACTAAACAACCCTTTTAATCATTTTCTCCGCTCACATTCCCCATTGCCAGATCAGTACATGTTGCTGTTCCGAGGAAATCATCGGCGGCGGCGGCGGCGACAACGAGAAGTTGAGTGAGCACATACAGCCTATCGTGATTGTATGCGTTGA